ATTGAGGGAGTACTTGAGTGGAGGCCCAATGTCCATCTGCTACATTAATACTAAACCTATAAATATATGCACATAGATCTATTTCCCCAAGATCCCCTTGTTCTGTTTGCACGACTTCCTCTTGATCCATGTACAGGTTCCCCAGGAACACAATGGCATGTTCAGGAATTTCCATTCTTCTCAAGGTTATCCACAGTTTGTTGTGATCCACACAGATGAATGCCTTGGCACAGTCCAAAGAACACAAGTCAACATCTTTCTGGTCTTCTCTGCTTTCAACCACGATCCATCTGACTTCAGCAATGACATTCCTTGTTCCATGCCCTCTGCTCAATCTGGCCTCATTTTCTGGAAGCTCCCTGTCAGTGGGCTGTGGGGTGATCGTCAGTAAATTTTTACTTGCATGTGATGTCAATGATACTGTTGCCTAATTTGCACATTCTTTTAGGTCACCTTTCTTTGGAATGGGCACAGATATGGATCTCTTTCTGCCAGCTGGCCAAGTAGCTGTCTTCTAAATTTTTTGGCATAGACAAGTGATGCTTTCAGTGCTTCATTGGCTTGTTGAAATATTTCCATTTGAATTTCATCAATTCCTGGACCCTTGTTTTTGGCTAATCCTTTTAGTGCAGCTCGGACGTCTTCAAGTTCTTGCTCACATTCTACCTCTTGAAATGGTTGAATGCCAACTGGTTCTTTTTGGTACAGGGACACTGTGTACACTTTCCATCTTTAGAAAGGATTACACACAGACGACTCTAGAAGAGATCATGTAAGCATACTTCCGTTGTTGCTAGCTGCTGCCATGTCAGTTCTGGCTCATAGCAACCTGTGGACAACAGAATGAAACACTGTGCGGTCCTGCATCCTCCTTACAGTTGTTCTCATGTTTAGCGTGTTGTTGTAGCCGCTGTGCCAATTCATCTCATCGAGGGTCTTCTTGTTCACTGCCCCTCTACTTTACCAAGCATGACGTCCTTCTCCAGGGACTGGTCTCTTCTGACATGTCCTAAGTACAAAGTACACGAGAGGAAGTCTTACCAGCCTTACCTCTAAGGAGCATTCTGGCCGTACTTCTTCCAAGACAGCTTTGATTGTTCCTTTGGAAGTCCATGATACTTTCACTAAACTTTGCCAACACTATATTTCAAATGCATCGCGATTCTTCTTTAGAAGAATCTTATTCAATATCCAACTTATTCTTATTCAATATCCGACTTTCACATGAGTAGGAGACAATGGAAAATACCATGGCTTGAGTCAGGCACACCTTAGCCTTCAAAGTAACATCCTTGCTTTTCAATACTCTAAAGAGGTCATGTGCAGCTGATTGACCCTGTGCAATACATCATTTGATCTCTTGACTGCTGCTTCCATTAGCATTTAATGCCTTGGAAACTCTATGCAGGGTTGCTCTGCATTAGAATTGAGTAGATGGCGGTGGGTTTGGTTCATGCCGCTTTTAGATGATCTGCCTGGAAGCACAGTGTTAATAGATATGTAAGCCCGAGGTGATTTCAGCCTGTCCCAGCAGCACGACAGGAGAGGCGGGGCTTGCGCTGCCCCACCCTGGAAGGGTTAGAGGGTCACAGTGAGGACAGACCAGTCACCACACTAATGTAACGTGCTGTCCAGTGCTGGAAAGAGGGGTGTTCTGGCTGGAGACGGCCAAGAAGATCCCAACTCACAGCCCCCAGGAGAGAGCAGCGCGGCCCCCACCCCAACCCCCTGAGACCTTCCAGCTGTCATTGTTCTACGGCCAGGCCCCAGGGCTTTTCTCCCCCAGATCCAGGAGCCAGTCCATGGGCACTGGCAGGGGTACTGCTAGCAGGAGAGAGACAGAGCAGAGGGCCCTGCGAGGCCAAACCAATGCCATCCGGGGACGGCTGTGGAGTCGCCCAAGTGCTGGTGCCCTGTGGGGGGGTGCTGTGCCCCGGGGTACTCAAGCATGGCCGTTCAGGAGCAGATCTGTCACCAGGTCTTTCTCCCTCGGTGCCCGAGCATGGACTCAGATGTCCAGACTTTCTGCCAGCAGCCACCCGGGCTCCCCAGGCACCCCCCAGAAGAGCAGCCTCACAGGTCAGCAAGCCAAGGTCTGACTAAGCCCCGACTCACCAGGGCTACTCACAGCTGAGGCTGGTCCTCTTTATCCCACTGAAACAATTTATTAATTGCACTGACTATGTTTCTATATGTAGAAAATTAACAAATAACCCCCCACTTTTTTTGTTTGTTTTTGATCTGCATAAAAGTCTACAGAGCCAATTGGGTTCCAGGAACCACGCAGACACACGGTGTTTCCTAACTCAGCCCGCACCCCTATGAGGTCACAGCCCCATCCTCAGGGCCTCCCACTTCTGTTCCCTGCGCCCCTCCCCTGCCTGCCTCTAGATGTCCCCCCTGGGCCACCAGCCCTCTGACCTCCCGCAGCTGGTGGTCCTAAGCACCGTCACTGCCCCCTACAGCCTGGGCGGAAAGCTGGTGGTAGTGGTGGTGTGTGTGTGTGTGTGTGTGTGTGTGTGTGTGTGTGTGTGCAGCTGCAGGCCCGAGGGGTGATGTGGCCCCGTCTAAGGGCTCTGTCAGTCTCTGTCTGGCTCGTGAGCCAGGCCTCTCCATGGTTTAGAGTCTGGTCCTATGTGACCCACACACCATCTCCGGTCCTCCTATTGGGGCCCCTTTCTAACTGCCCAGCGACCACTCCAGCACTGACGAGGAAGCAGCTGGAGGCCAGGACAGGCCCCTGGTGACTTGAGGGCACCGGGAGCAAGAGACGTGCTTACTGGCAGGAAAAACAAATTCTGAGCACGGAGCATGGCCACCTGGTCGGGCGACAGGGGGAGGCTTGCATTGGACGTGTTGGCGGTTGGCGGGACAGCCTCTTCTGGGGCACTCAGGAAGAGCTGCAGGGAGGAAACGGAGTGTATCAGTGCATATCCACACGCAGGCTTGGGGAGGCACTGGGATGCTGCGTGAGGACAGCGCACCCACTCCAGCTAGGGCGGCCTGCCTCTGTCTTGGCCTGGCCATTGCTGGGAATTCCAGTCCTGAGAAGTAAGCAGCTCTTCTGCAGGGTGCCCAGTGCAGGTCAGGCTTCACACCTTCGAGAATGCTGTTCAGCAACCTAGGGCTGTAGTGCAAAACACCAGCTTACGCATGCAGAGCGTGTGCAGGCTACAACTAGGACTAAGGTGGACAGGCCCCAGACCGGACCCTCAGCTCCCTGCACCTTGGGACCCAGATCCAACTGGACCCTCAGCTCTCTGCACCTTGGGACCCAGATCCAACTGGACCCTCAGCTCCCTGCAACCTGTACCAAGACCCAACTGGACTCTGAGCTGTTTGCACCCTGGGATCCAGCCCTGATGGAACCCTCAGCTCCCTGCACCCTGGGACTCAGCCCTCAGAATTGGCTGTACGGTCTTCACACTTGGTTCAAACAGACGCATAGCCGGGTTGGAGTGGCCCTCTGATTCTACAGGAGGACAGTCCTGGGAGGGTGGAGCACAAGAGCAGTGGCCCGTGTGTCTCTGCTGCATCAGCTCATGGCAGCTCAGGCTCTAGGAGCTGAAGGCTTGAGAGGAAGGGCCCTGGGGACTTGGAAAGGGGCCACCTGAGCCAGGGAGAATCGGCTGGGGCTGGGGGGTGTCACCGATCACACCGGAGAAAAGTGGCCCCTCCTGGCCCGAGCCCCACTTTTCTCCATCTACACCTCACCCCTCCCCTCTCTCTTCCCATTTTTCTCTCCCCCGTCTCTCCCCATCTCTGCTTCTCCATCTCTTCCTCTCTCCCCCTGCCCCACCCCTCTCTCCTTCTGTCTTTCCATCCGTCTCCCTCTCCCTGCATCTCTCTGTGTCTCTCTTTCTTGCTCACTCTCTCTCTTTCTCCCTGTGTCTCCCTCCTTCTCTCTCCTCCCGGTCCCTCTGCCTCTGACTCCGCAGCCACACACACTGTCCAGGTGTCGACTTGGCCGGCGGTCACTTGCTCATCTGGCACGAGGCCAGGCATCCTGGGAGGAGAGGTCAGCTAGGGTCCCATGGCAGGAGGAGGGCGTTCTTGTCCATCAGTCTCAGTCATTCCCTGGCCAGGACTCACTGACCACGTGTGCTCAGGGTTTAAGAAGACAGACCACCCCCACCCCCAGCCTGCGGTTTCTATGGTTGCTCTGCTTGGGTGCACTGGTTCATGTCCTTTGGGGTGCAGGCCCTTATGAGGTGTCGACACTAGCCGCCGTCTCCATCAGCTTTTCCAGGTGGGTAGGTGGGCACTCAGTGGCATCTTCTTGGGGACGTTCTCCTGGCATACTAAGAACAGTCCTGGGTGTGGCAGCACTTGGGAAAGAGGAGGGAGGCTGCTTCAACCAAGATCTGCTTTAGGACTCAGTTCCCAACCTGACTTGGCCAATCACTCCCTTTCCAGAAAGAAAGGCCATGACCGATGCTAGCGGTCACCCAGCACAGAGGGTGAGCATCTGCTTCTGCAGCGCGCCCCTCTTGCCCCCGCCCCCCAGGCCCCACCCAGCCTTGCGCTGTCCTTCAAGAAGGTCTGACTTGTGAAACCCACTGTCTCAATCGCAGCGGGGCCACAGCAGTCTCCACAGGCCGCCCTCCTCAGGTCTGTGCCCAGGGCTCCAGCTGGCGGCTTGGGGGAGACACCCGCCCGCGCCAGGCTGACGCCAGCTGCAAGATCTGCAGCCTCACTAGGGGTGGGTCCGGACTGGATGGAGAGGGTCCTGGGAGGGTGACCTCTGCTCTTTCCTGCAACAGTGGTGTCCTGAGTCAGGGCACCCACAACACCACCGCCAGTGACTGAAGAATGAGCTCTCGCCAGTGACCGAAGCGGGACCTCTGGTGAGCATGCACACACTGCCAGCACTGTCCTGAGTGGGGGCGGGGGCTCACTCTGTCCTCATGGCCACCTTGTCAGACACCGTGGCTCTTGCTGAAGGACAGGTATGATGGACTCAGAGGGGTGACCCTGCGAAGGGCTGGTGGGCAGGAGGGAGCAGCCCGGCGCTCACCATGTTGCACACGGCCATGGTCAGGATGATGGCTGTGGTGACCACGGTGAGGGAGATTCTTGGCCAGGGCCGGTTGGTGATGAGGCCGGACGACTTCAGGAGCCACAGCAGGGCGGTGGACGCTTTCTTGCTGCATTGCTGCGGGGGGTGGGGGTGGGAGCAGAGGAAAGACAGGGTCACACAACCAGCACCCAGTGCACTGTTGCCAAGCTCGGCCACACGGCCCCACATGCCCAAGCAGGCTGGCCACAGGCTCTCCCGGCAGCCCCACCCAGCCTTGTGCTGTCCTTCAAGAGGGTCTGACTTGTGAAGCCCACTGTCTCAATCGCAGCGGGGCCACAGCAGTCTCCACAGGCCGCCCTCCTCAGGTCTGTGCCAGGGCTCCAGCTGGCGGCTTGGGGGAGACCTGCTGGCTGACGCCAGCACAGACAAGGCGGCCCTGCACTTCCGCTCCCGGATAAAGCTGCCCAGATGCAGCCCCTAGCCTGAGAGGGGTGGGGTCCTCTGGAGCCCGGGCCTTTGGCCTTGGAGAGCTCTTGGCCTCTCCTCTGCTGGAGGTATGCTGGGATCTGGAATTCCTGTGGTCAGGGGCCAAACCGGGGTGGATGGACAGGGAGGTCGGCTGAGACGGAGGCCGGGACTGTAGGGCGGGGGCAGCGCCATGACACCTTCTAGGCCCTTCCGGGTGCTTTTCTGTGGCCCTAGGTGGTTTTAGCTGCTGTCAGCTCCGGCCCAAAACAACCAGGGACTCTGTGCCTGTGCCCATCGTGGCAGCCACTGTGTCCCCGTCCGTCTCGCCCAGGGCTTTCCTCTTCCTCGCTGCCCCAACACTGTACCCAGCACGACGTCCTCCTCCAGGGACTGGTCTCTCCCGACACCGTGTCCAAAGCACATGAGACCGAGTCTCACGGTCCTTGTCTCCAAGGAGCACTTGGCCATGCTTCTTCCAGGGCAGACTTGTCTGTGGTCCGTTCCACCTGTCCACGCTGCTTTCAACCGCATTATCCCTCTCCAGAACCACAGCCCGTGCATCGTCCCTCCCGTCCTCCCTTCCATCCTCCAGCTTCCCAGGCCACGCGGAAGGAGACCAGCGTTGAAACATGAAACACGAAACCCCGCCGAGGCTGAAACATGGGCGCTGTGGAGAGCTGCGAGGAGGAGGAGGAGCCAGCGTTTCCCACTGGACATGGGATGGACACGTGGTCAGGTGGACCGGCAAGGCCCCCAGGGAGAAGGCCGCTCCGAGAGCAGAGACCCTGCTCCCCACTCCCAGGACAGCTCTTTGGAAACACGTGGCCCATTCGGCCCCACTGCGGAGGCGGCTTGGCGGTTGGGCTTCCATTGGAACGTCGGTGTGGGTTCTTCTGAAGCTCTGAGAAATGGAGGCAGGTCCCCAAGGGGCGGGGGTGGGGGACGGGGACCTGGATTTCCTCCCAATGCCACAGCACCCAACACTCCCACCCCGTACCGGCTTTCTCGGGATGCAGCTGGAAAGGGTACAAGCGTTCTGCCCTGCGGATGTCTCAGGCTCCTTGTCGCTAAGATGCAGGAGGTTACCAAACACTGACTGAAATACTTGTAACAGCAAAGAGCTATTTTCAGATGTTCTCAAATCCTGTATCTGGATCCTGCATTGTTTAGTCATCCCTGTGTTTTTATTTCTCCTCTTTCAAAATACTTTAGAAAGTTAAAGAGAAATATTAAAAACCAAACGTGACTTTCATCCATTTTGCAACAGAAAAATCGTGCACCAAGTCAAGCAAACACATGATCGGAATACCTTTTCCGTCAAAAGAAAGAATAAACAGCACACATAAGAAACTGCTGGTACGTATGCACTTTGTAGTGTCTCTGGATAAGATTTGATGTAAGCCACCAACTACATAATGTCATATGTCTCTATATATAATAATGTGGCTGTAATGTAAGCTACAAACTACATAATGTCATGTGTCTCTCTATA